ATTTCATGTGCCTTTATATTTTAGCTATTAGTCCAGAAACTTGTCATATATTTTTATGTTTGCTTGAACTATGTCACAACACATAACTTTCCAATATATGATTATTTTAACAGCGTTATTCAACCAAGCAGTGCCAATTTCCTTGAACGGTAAGAGAAAGTTTTCTAATATCTGGAAGCACAAATTGTATGTATCTGTGTATACAGGGGTTTATGCATGTATCCCGTGCTGCTGACTGGAAAGTTTATAAGAAAGATCATGTATTATAGAAATCTACACTTGAAACCTATATAATCTTATTAACCAATCTCACCCCAATAACTGTAATAAAAAGAAAATGTAAAAGAAAATGAATTCTGGTCCACAATTCATTATTCCATTTTATTTTATTTATTTATTTTAAAATATATTTCTCTATCCACTGAGCCAAACCAGTCAGGGCCAATACTGCTTTTTAAATTTTATTTTATTTTTTACAATGAAGGAGTAATTTTAAAAAGTAGAAAACATAGTTTTGGCATATCTATCTATAAATATAGACATATGTCAGTGGGTATGACCATAATGGTCTAATATTTAGAATTGTAGAGTTAGAATAAAAAAAAATATTTACTCTGCCTCAAAAAAAAATCTAATATAATATTTAGACATGTGCAGAATTAATAACATATTCTCGCTTTCTAGAAAGTTACTGTGGCCCATGTCCTAAAAACTGGCTATGTTATGGAAACAACTGCTACAAATTTTTTAATGAGAGCAAGAACTGGTTTCAGAGCCAAGCTTCCTGCATGACTCAAAATTCTAGTCTCCTGAAGATATACAGCCAAGAGGACCAGGTGAAGTATTGTTTTAACTCATCTGCCTATATTGAGTCCTACCATATGTGGCAACTCTCTGGAATATGAACCTGATATATAATAGAGGCACAAGGCTCTGACACATCAACTCCATATTCTTCTGTATTAAAAATAAAAAATCACAAAAATTGCAGGAATTATATAGTATATGTGTTGTTGAAGTTGGAATTCTGAAAGAGGACAGAATGCAGTTTCCTCAACTGTGGGGAAAATGATTAAATGATCATAGCCTTGTATTTAATACTATTCTTAGAATTGACTTTATTTGTGATTTCCAATAGGATATCTTTAAATTGCTAAAGTCCTACCATTGGATGGGACTGAAAAAGAATTCTACAAACGGAAACTGGCAGTGGGAAGATGGCTCCATTCTGGCTCACGATCAGTAAGTCTGTACCTACAGTAAGTCTCTAGTTGTGGATTTGCCTCTAAGCTATTCCTGTGATCACTGAACCACCACATTCTCCTTACCACAATGCCAGGACATCCCATATGCCAGTGGTGTGCGAACTGCGGCTCGCGAGGCACATGCAGCTCTTTGGCCCCTTGAGTGTGGCTCTTCCACAAAATACCGACTTCTGCGCATAGGCGATGAAGTTTTAATCTCACTGTATGTGCATGTCTGCACGTGGTATTTTGTGGTAGAGCCACACTCTAGGGGCCAAAGAGCTGCATGTGGCTCACCAGCTGCAGTTTATCGACTACTGCCATATGCTAATAGAGTCAGTCCAAAACTGCCATATGCTAATGGAGTCAGGCCTAGATTTAGTACATTGGGAAGCAGCCAGTAACCATAAAAATGAGTAAAATTAAGTGTTTTCTATGTGCTAAATACTGTGCAAGCTACTTGCTATGAACATATGTGTGCAAGTCATTGTATGAGCAGAGGCTCTTTTTTTTTCTTGCATAAATACATAGGAGAGAAACAGATGGATCTTATAATAAATACTAGAGGTCCGGTGCACAAAACTTTGTGCACTTGGCGGAGTCCCTCAGCCCAGCCTGTGCCCTCTCACAGTCTGGGACCCCTCAGGGGATGTCCACCTGCTGGCTTAGGTCCGCTCCCAGGGAGATCAGGCTGAAGCTGGCAGCCAGACATCCCTCTGGCAGCATGGGAGCCCTTCGGAGATGTCCACTTGCCATCGGGGAGCAGGCCTAAGCAGCAGTCGGACATCCTTAGCGCTGATGAGGAGGAGGAAAAAAAAATGGGGGATATCCACTTGCCAGGGGGGAGCAGGACTAAGCTGCAGTCAGACATCCTTAGCGCTGCTGAGGAGGCAGGAGAGGCTCCCACCACAACCGCTGTGCTGACAGCTGGCAGCCTGGCTTGTGGCTGAGCAGAGCTCCCCCTGTGGGAGCGCACTGACCACCAGAGGGCAGCTCCTGCATTCAGCGTCTGCACCCTGGTGGCCAGTGTGTCATAGGTGGCCACTCATTCCCAGTTGTTCTGCTGTTAGGGTCAATTTGCATACTACCCTTTTATTATATAGGATAGAGGCCCGGTGCATAGGTGGGGGCCGGCTGGTTTGCCCTGAAGGGTGTCCTGGATCCTGGGGTGCCTGGCCAGCCTGGGTGAGGGGCTGATGGCTATTTGCAGGCTGGCTAAGCCCCCCTACGGGGACCCTAACCCCATGGTGGTGTGGCCAGCCTGGGTGAGCGGCTTAGGGCCGTTTTCAGGCTGCCCTCAACCCCTTCAGGGTGGGGTCCCGCTGGGGTGCCTGACCACTTTGGGTGAGGGGCTGATGGCCGTTTTCAGGCTGGCCACACCCCCCAGCAACCCAAACTCCAGCCTCTCCTTTTTTTTCTTTATCTTTTTTTTCTGGGATCTATTTATCTTCTATAATTGAAACTTTGTAGCCTTGAGCGGAGCAGAGGGCCAGCCAAGGCAGGCGGGAAGCTTCTATCGCCAGGGGCAACCCAAGCCTCCTGATCTCTCCAGCTCCATGGCCAATGCCATCTTTGTGACAGTGTGATAGAGTAATGGTAAATTTGCATATTACTCTTTAATTAGATAGAATATGTTTAACTATTTAAGAGACTGCCAGACTATTATCCAAAAGGCTTGTGCAATTTTACAATCTGATTAGCAGTGTGTGAGACTTAAGAGTTGCTCAACATTTTGGTCAATAATTGTTATGATCAGTTTCTTAAATTTTATCCATTCTAATGTGTATAGTGGTTTGAATTTTGCATTTTCTTCATGACTAATGATATTGAGCATATTTTCTGTGCTAATTTAACATTCATCTTTCAATTTTTTATTTAATTAATTTCTGCTCTGATCTTTATTATCTTCTCACTCAGGGTTAACTTTTCTTTCTCTAGTTTCTTATCACAAAAATTAATATATGGGTTGGATCCATATATTAGATATTTTCTAATCAAAGCATTCATGCTATTAATATTTGAGATGATTTTGCAGCATTCCCACATTTCTGAGCTATTTATTTTCATTTCCATTCATTCCAAAATAGTTCTAAATTCCCTTTTACACTGTTCTCTGATGCATGAAATTTTCAAGTGTTAGTTTATAACATTTGAGAATTTCCCAGAGATATTTGTTATCAATGTCTAATTGCATTTTGATCAAGAAACATACTTTGTCACTTGAATCTACTTGCAATTATTGATATTGGTTTTTATGGATCAGACTCTGGTCTATCTTTTTTTTAATGTTGACTCTATTACAGATGTCCCCCATTTTCTCTCCCTTTTCTTTTCTCCACCCCACCTAGGCCTTCATCACATTATTTTTCATGTCCATCGGTTAAACCTATCTATACTAATAAAAACATAATATGCTAATTAAACTAGACAGCCGAATGACCTTCTGGACATCATTCCAGACATCCATCTGGACTAAGCCAAGGTGGCAGGGGCTGAGGCAGAGGCAGTTAGGGAGGATCAGGCAGCAGGGGAGCAGTTAGGGGCATCAGGCTGGCAGGGGAGCTGTTAGGGTATCATGCAGGCAGAGGCAGTGAGGGATGATGAGACAGGCAGGCAAGTGGATAGGGGTGATCAGGAAGGCAGGCAAGTGTTTAGGCATGATCAGGAAGGCATGCAGTGGGGTCGGAGTGATCAGGCAGGCAGGCATGCAGAGGAGTCAGGGTGATCAGGCACACAGGCAGGAAGAATGATTAGGTGCAATCAGACAGGCAGAGGGGTTAGGGGCAATCAGGCAGGCAGGCAGAATGGTTAGGGGTGAGCAGGCATACAGGCAGAGTGCTTAGGGGCAATCAGGCAGGTAGGCAAGTGGTTGGGGCAATCAGGCAAGCTGGCAGGCAAGACGTTAGGAGACAGCAGTCCCAGATTGAGAGAGGGTGCAGGCCGAACTGAGGGACACCCCCACTCCCCATGCATGAATTTCATGCACCAGGCCTCTATGATGTATATATATATTTCTTTGGTTGATCTCTTGCCATCCTCCCAATCTTTCTGCCCTCTGAGATCTGTTAGTCTGTTCTATTTATCCATACTTCACATTCTATTTCTGAAATTTTGTATGGGTCCCTGTATAACTTAGAATTGATCTGTATGGATGACAAAAAAGAGTTTGTTCTCTGGGACTACTAATAAGATTTTTGTATCATTTTATCTCACTTTTATCCACTCTGCAAGTATAAAAATCCAGTTTGTAAATAAAACAACTAGCATACTAAACTTCTGTTTATGAATGTGACAAATACTGATTGAGTGCTGCTTGATTTCCATAAACTATGCAGAGATAACTACAGAGATGAATAGACCATAACTCTTTTAAAAGATTCACACTTTAGTTAGAAATATAGTTAATAAATAAAGCCCATGTAACCCATATTCTGGCAGAAATGTGATGAGAATGGCATAGGTAAACAAACACAGAAATTAAAAAAACACATGAATACAGTTAGATTAGAAAGAATGAGCTTCTAATGTGCATAGATTGAGACCAACTAAGAGCTGTTACCAAGTATACCTTAATTTTCTTCTCTTATAGTGGCTAGTTGTTTCTGTTTAGACAGAAATAATGATCTCTTCCTTAACAGTCCTTTAGTGGTGTCAACTTCATATGGAAGTAAAATCATCATTCTTTCCTCAAACTTATCTTTCCTACCTGTTCCTGGCAGAAAACAAATCATTATTTATTACATTAACTATATAACTACAAAAATACTGAAATCCTCAAGTAAAATAGATATACATGTATAATTGTGCCTAACCACACAAACACACACACACACACACACACAAACACACACACACACACACACACTTATGTATGTGTGTATATACTGGAGGATTTTATAATAAAATTTTTATAATTTTTAAATTTAAAAAAATTTAAATTTTTAAAAGTAAAATTGCACATATCTGAAGAATATTGTACATTTTTCACAAAACATGACAAGAAATTCTGAATTTATTTCTAACCAAATATTTCTTTAAATACATTTTAAAGCTTTTATTTCACACTAGAAGCCGAGTGCACAAATTTGTGCACCACAGGAAACCCTCAGCCTGGCCTGCAGGATGGGGCTGAAACTGGCTCTGCAACATCCCTGAGGGGTTCCAGATTACAAGAGGGCACAGGTCAGGCCGAGGGACCTCACTGGTGAATAGTCAGGGCTGTGGCAGGACGAAGGAGGTTGGTCAGCTGGGGAGGAACTGCGGGAGGGCTCCAGGGTGTGTCTGGCCCGCCTCGCTTTGTCCTGATTGGCTGGACTCCAGCAGCAAGCTAACCTACCGGTTAGAGCATCTGCCCCCTGGTGGTCAGTACACATCATAGTGAGTGGTGAGTGGCCCTAGCATATCATTAGCATATTATGCTTTGATTGGTTGAACAGTCGACCAGGCACCTGGACACAGCACATTAGGCTTTTATTGTATAGGATGGGTACACATATAAAGAGATTCCAGACTTTCTACATTGACTAATTTCCAGTATATAAAAATAGTAGCACAGCCCTAACTGGTTTGGCTCAGTGGATAGAGAGTCAGCCTGCGGAGTGAAGGGTCCCAGGTTCGATTCCGGTCAAGGGCATGTACCTTGTTTGCGGGGACATCCCCAGTAGGGGTTGTGCAGGAGGCAGCTGATCAATGTTTCTCTTTCATCTATTCCCTCTCCCTTCTTCCTGTAAAAAAATCAATAAAATATATTTTAAAAAATAAAATAAAATAGTAGCACTTAATTTATAATAGAATGCAATTTTTACTTTTATTACCTCAGTTGGTTATATTTTGCTTATCTATAAATTAAAAAGGCCAGGCAAAGTTCTTAAATCTGCTATAATGATATTATTTCAGTACCTATATTTAAGTAAATAGTATTTAATTATTTTTCTGCATTAATGTAATCATGCATGTAATTTGTTCTTCTCTCTAATCTAGAATAACAATGGTTGACATGGCAAACGGAACCTGTGCAGTTTACGGTTCAAGTTTTAAAGGTTACACAGAAAACTGTTTAACTCCAAACATATACATCTGCATGCAAAGGATTGTGTGAAGTTTGTTATTTATAAAATATAAAGGATTTCAAAATAAAAACGCCATTCTCTGACTTTCTTCATGAAGAAAACTTCCAGAAGAAAACGCCACCAATATTTATTAAATATTTTTTCATCTGACATGCCACAAACCTTATACTTGCAGCAAATAAAAACTAACAATTAAATGACATATCTTCTGTAACAATGTTTCATTTATTTTTAAATTATTGAGAGATGAATAAATTCATATTCAATTTTAATAAACTGTTGATAATACCTATGGTAGAACTAAATTTTAAAATACGATTTTATTAAATATTCACACATATTAATCTATTAAGGCTTTTAAAACTTTCAAATACAATACAATTGAAAATTAAATACACTTGGATGAAGGGTATATTGGGTTTATTAAATTTTCTATTTTTGAAGTATTTCTTAAAGTTAAAAATAATCCTGGAAAAGTTTCAATGTTTCCACATCTTTCTATTTTAGTTAATTAAATTTATTAGGGTGACATAGAGCAATACAATTATATAGGTTTCAAGTGTTCAATTCTATGATACATCATCGATATATTGTATTATGTGCCCACCACCCAAAGTCAAATCTTCTTCCATCACATATTTGACCCCCTTTGCCCTTTACTACCCTCCACCCCCCCTTCCTTCTGGTAACCACCATACTGTTGTCTATATCGCTGTGATTTTGTTTGTTTTCAGGTTTGTTCATTTGTTGCTTTTGGTTTTATATCCCGCATATGAGTGATTTAATCTCCATATGTTCTCTTCTTACATATACAATGACCAGGCTCTTCACAATTACCATCAAATAACTGACCATTTTTTATATATTTGCATTGATTAGAGGAAATGTCAGGTTTTGTTAACTGGAGGCTAGAAGAGAAAAGAATTTCTATTTTTACTAAAATTTATTTCATAGATCAAGTCTATTCTTCAAGGTTACTATGCATTAATTGAAATATAAAAGAGCATATATTTCTTTGGCAGATTTAATGTGTAAATAATAAATAATATTTGTTCCATTCAACTCTTAAGGAAGGAAAATGGCAGAGTAAGGAACTCCAAAACACCAGTCAGCAATGGTAAAGCTGACTACAACTGACTCAAAATTTTCAGAGATCTGGAATCTAATAAAAAACAGTGACAAAGAGCAAGTGCTTGCTTAATGAAGAAAAAAGCTTCTATCTTTAGGTAAGAGAGCATTTGTTTCATTCAAAGTAAATGAACCCAGGTCAGTGTGCTCAGTTGGTTAGAGTCCCTGACACCAAAACTTTGTAGGTTCCACTCCTGGTCAGAGGCAGCTGATCCATATATCTCTTCTCTTCTCTTCTCTTCTCTTCTCTTCTCTTCTCTTCTCTTCTCTTCTCTTCTCTTCTCTTCTCTTCTCTTCTCTTCTCTTCTCTTCTCTTCGCTTCTCTTCTCTTCTCTTCTCTTCTCTTCTCTTCTCTTCTCTTCTCTTCTCTTCTCTTCTCTTCTCTTCTCTTCTTCTCTCTTCTCCTCTCTTCTCCTCTCTTTCCTCTCTTCTCTCTTCTCTCTCTCTCTCTCTTTCTCTCATTGATGAGGATTTTTTCTTAAAAGTAACTGATAGAGGGATGCTAAAATTGTTTTTAATCCTGATTATTATCCCCGTGTGCTTGATAAAATAGAATCTTTTATATTTATCTTAATAACATGGTAGGGTGAAAAGAGTACCTCCTATACATTAGCATTTTAATAAGAAAATTGGTGCTATAAGAGCAGTTTTCAAATTTTGTGTCAGGACTCCTTTCAACTATTAAAAATTATTCCAGAGACCCAACTAAATTTTGTTATTTGGAATATATCTATCCAAATTTGTTATACTGAAAATTAATTCTATTATAGTAGAAAAGATTAACTCATTTATATAAACAATACTAAATGCGTGTACATGCCCTAACTTGTTTGGCTCAGTGGATAGAGTGTCTGCCTGCAAACTGAAGGGTCCCATGTTCGATTCCAGTCATGGGCATGTACCTTGGTTGCCGGCACATCCCCAGTAGGGGGTGTGCAGGAGGCAGCTGATGAATGTTTCTCTCTCATCGATGTTTCTAACTCTATCCCTCTCCCACCCTCTCTGTAAAAAAAAAACCATAAAATATATTAATAAATAAATACATACATACACATTTTGTGTTAATATAAAAGTAATTATATTCCTTTCCAAAATAGTGCAACATTGTCATTTTTTTTATATTTTGCAAATTTTTAATTGTCTAGCACAGTGGTCGGCAAACTCATTAATCAAGAGACAAATATCAACAGTACAATGATTGCAATTTATTTTTAGAGCCAAATTTTTGAAACTTAAACTGTATAGGTAGGTACATTGTTATTAACTTAATTAGGGTACTCCTAAGGCTTAGGAAGAGCCACACTCAAGGGGCCAAAGAGCCGCATGTGGCTCGCGAGCCGTGGTTTGCTGACCACTGTGACAAGTGAATTTTTTATTTGCTTCAGTGTTTAATCTTCTTTGATATATTATGTTATAATGTTTCAGAAATACTCCCATTCACTGATGAAGAAATGAAACTGAAAGAGAAAATCACATTTAAATATTATTTTTTTAATTAAATCTTTATTGTTCAGATTATTACAGTTGTTTCTCTTTTTTTCCCCCATGGCTCCCCTCCACCCGGTTCCCACCCCACCCTCTGTCCTTACCTCCCACACTGTCCTCATCCATAGGTGCATGATTTTTTTCCAACCTCTTTCTGCACCCCAAACATCCCTTTCCCTTGATAATTGTCAGTCGACTCCCGTTCTATGCCTTTGATTCTAGTATATTCACCAGTTTATTCTGTTCATCAGATTTTTTATTCAATTGATTTTTAGATTCACTGGTTGATAGATATGCACTTGTTCATAATTTTTATCTTATCTTTTTCTTCTTCTTCCTCTTCTTAAAGAATACCTTTTAGCATTTCATATAATACTGGTTTGGTGGTGCTGAACTCCTTAAGCTTTTTCTTATCTGTGAAGCTCTTCATCTGACCTTCAATTCTGAATGATAACTTTGCTAGGTAAAGTAATCTTGCTTGCAGGTACTTGCTATTCATCACTTTGAATATTTCTTGCCATTCCCTTCTGGACTGCATAGTTTCTGTTGAGATGTCAGCT